TTTTTTGCTTTTTATGCCTTGTTATGCTGATAAATCTAATAGTAATTTGAATAATTTTAACATCTGCATCGCAGATGAAATGATGCAACAGCTGGAGGTCAGCCGGCCCATCAAATCCTTGTTTTGTCTGGCTCCCAGCCCTAGTTATTCCTTAATTTAGGTCCCTCTGCCACATCTCATTAACACACAATTGCCTCTCCTTCATAATTACCGATTCTGGGACACACGACCACCCACATGCTAACGGATTTCCTCTGGTTTCATTTTTTTCCCAGCTGTTTTCACAACAAAAATAAGTCTTGCACCACAGTATTTACACTGCATCAGTCATGTTTTTATTGAGGAGGCTTCTGATCATGTTACCATCCTTCACAAGATGTTTGTGCAGTGATTGACATGAATGCTTGTGTTGTTGTATAGATCGGAGGCTGCAGCAGTCTTAACGTCTTCACTGTGCGCGACAACTACCTGAAAAAGATCCCACCAGAGCTGTCGCAAGCCACCGAACTGCATGTACTCGACGTCTCTGGGAACCGGTACGTTTAATGGCAGAAGTAGCGATCATGTTCAGACAACAAAACAACATCTTATTAAAACTAAGAAAAACACACAGGGCTTTGTCTCAGTAAATCAATAGGTGAAACTATTAGATTATTTACATTTAATTCACACTTGCCTTACAGCTAATATTGCCTTACAGCTAAGGAAAATCCAAAATATATTAGAAAATTAAAGCATCAGATCAATTAAAAATGTTTTTATGACAAAAACTCCATCTATTTTGTAGTATATACATTCAACATGTGGTCAGGTCCTCTTTTGCATCAATTCATGTATTATTTTGGTGTGTCAGATGATCAACCTGCTTCTTTCCTGAAGTGATAGTTTCGGCCAAAGGTCAGAAAACTAAAATCCTGACCTTTGTTAAACTTGTCAACAAAGGTGTGTTTGAAGTTTCTCTAAGATCTCCTGGCAAACTTTCTCAAGTCTGAACTTAGATCATGATAGAAAGTGGTGGACTAACACAAGCAGATGACACGTCTCCTCAAATCCTCGCTGAACGTAGAAACTTCATCCTGGACCCCAAGCGATTTGGATGCTTTGCTTCTTCGCACTCATTCCAGCCTTGGGGACCATAACTTCCAAAATAAGTGCAAATGCATCTGTTTCAGGATCGGTGATGCCCCAAAAATGCTGCACTAACAACATTTCAGTGATATATCTGTGCATATCGGCTCTTGAAGCACTTACTCCTCATGTGGTCAATAGCTTGTGCTCCTACAACTATAAGTCACTTTTTTCATAGTTTTGTTATTTGTAATCCAGTGTGACTTGTATATGTTCATTTCCTCTTCTTGATGCATTTTTTTTTAGCCTGAAGCGACTTGAATTCATATAATGTTTTTCACACTTTTAATTAAATTACTGAAAAACATTTTCATATTTCCTGTTCCTTATAATCATCTTTCTTCTGTTAAGAATGTTTGATGGATTTTAATGTGATTATCACTCCAGCAACAATAACCTCAAGATTATTGCTGGTTCTGTGGTTTCTTTTTCGTTCTGTTTAGCCTGCTATACTTGCCGATGTCACTGACCTCGCTACATCTGAAGGCCCTGTGGTTGTCAGAAAACCAGTCCAAGCCGCTCCTCACTTTTCAGACGGATGAAGATCCTGACTCAGGAGAGAAGGTGCTCACCTGCGTCGTGCTGCCTCAGCAGCCCAGTGACTCAGGTACTTTATTTCTGTAAAAATCTTGAATAAGTTTTAAGTCATGCATGTTATTAGAAGCAGAAACATTTTTCTGACGCCAATTTACCTCCTGACTCAAATTACAATCCATTTTGATTACATTCAGAAGTATCTCATCAGTTCTCCCCCAAATATTTACTGCCCTGCAGTTTTGATGATATTATCACATTATCTGCTTGGCGAACCGCTGTGGGTTCTGTGCACTCTGGTCTTGCGATATCAAATGCAAGGTCCTCTAAAGGATTGCTGAGCCTTTGATGGATCAGACTCGCTCTTGTCTCCTGAGGCCTTCTTTGGCTGACTTTTTCCAGAAATGTTGTGGACTATGCTGCAAAAAGAGGCTTAACAGTGCCTGGCTGACTGACATTGAACACTCACCCATATGGCATTGGGATGCGAATGACTGGCTGTAAAATCTCACCGATTCTTGTTTGTATATTATTTCAGATTTTTGCAAGTATTCAATTTTTTTTTTCATCAGTATGTTACTGAAAAACCTGCTTGTTATGTGGCACAGTGTCCTTCTCTTATGGCAGAGATGCAGGTATTAAAGAGACACAGTCAGCTGGGTGAGGCTGCGGTTGGGGGCAGGGGACTGTGTTGCTGTGAGCCTTTGACTAAGCTGGGATTTGAAACTGTGATCTGGCAGTTTCAAATCCCGGCTCTTATTAGCAGCTGGTTGTGTGACAGCTCTCGTATATTGAGCTGGGAGCAGATTGTGACAAGCATATTGATAGCTGAAATACCTTTCTTTAGTTTGTTGGTGCTATTTTTTTTGTCAGAGCCTTACTAAGACAAAATATTTCATTTCTTAAAAAAAAAAAAAAAAAAAAAACCTTCAGGTTATGACAACCTGGCCCGCTTTGGAGCTCTGGAGAGCCTTGTGAATGGGATGGCTGATGAGGCTTGGGACAGCAAAGCCATGAATAGAATCAGCTCCATTCACTTCCTGGATGATTGTGAGGACGACGACGACGACCCGGTAAGATCAAGGAGCATACACACAGAAACACCTCAGTAAATTAGAACCTTGAAAAATGTATTTATTTCTGTGATTACATTCATAAAGTGATGCTTCATCATCATTCTTGAAAGAATTTCTACACTTTTCTGGATATTTGTTCCTTCTTACTGCAACAGCAACATTCCCTAAACCTTTACCCTCCTACAACTTTTAGGTGCAGCTTTGCTCCTCTGCACCTGAATCTATTTTCTGAAGTTATAATCAATTATTTTTGTACAACATGATTAGTTGTTGATGTGGTCAATTTACAGGTTTGCTTTGCAGCAGATTATGTTGCTACAAGAAGAAATAATATATTTAAGACTTTTTATGCTCAAAATAAGCAGTGACTTTATTTTCTTATGTATTAGTATTCTATGTTAAAACATTTTAAGTTACAACCATAATTTACTAAATCTGCATCCGTCTCACAGGGAACTCTGCTACGAAGGGCCACTCCTCACCCCGGTGAGCTGAAAACCATGAAGAAAGCAGCCGAGAACCTCCGCAACGACATGAACGCTGCCAAAGGCCTGGACTCCAACAAAAACGAGGTCAATAATGCTGCAGATGGAGTCACTACGTCTGTCTGACCTTTACCTCAGAAGTGTTGTTTTTGTTTGTTTTTTTTAAAATCCTTCTGTGTCTCGCCATATCGTCCTGCACAACCTTGCAGCCCTGTGTTGTTGCATTTTGTTGTTTTTATTTTTTCCCTAGATTTTCTTTTACTCACAAGTCCCAGTTTTGACCTCCCCCTTCGTTTGATCATGCCATGCAGGAGCCTAAGATCTCCAACTCCAGTCCTGTGGAAAAAAAAACTGTACCTGGGCCGCCGTGCCTTCCTCTTTTTAGCAAAAATCCATGGCAGAGAGATGCTTCTTTTTTGACAGTGTATTTTTAAGATGAAATACTTTTTCAAAAGTGATCTTTAAAGAATTTTTAGGTAGATGCACTATAAACTTTTTTAAATGTGGTGTTGTTGTTTTTTTTTTGTTGTTTTTTTTTTAAACACTGGGTCTTTCTACATTTTGGGGCAAACAAAAGCAGGAGTGTTTTTGGACATTCTTATCTAAAAATTGTTGTAAATCTCTTGTGAATATTGATACTTTTATACTTTTTGGCAGCTCAGATGTAAATAAGTGTATAGCAAGTATCTTCTTAATCGGTTTAAGATTCCCGCTCTCTTTAACTGGGTACATCTTTATTTTGCTAAAATAAAGGTAATGAACAAAAACACTAATGTCTTATTTAATCCACTGGGCGATCTTATTTTTGGATGTTTATTAGCTTATTCAAATTGAAATTCAAGTACTGCACATCAAGTTTAAATTGCCATCTGCAGTGTTGTTACGCTGTAAGGATCATGTTTTATTTAAATGTGCTGTACCTTACTGTTTTGCATTGTTTTTTCAGTAGATGCCAAAACAGACGTATTTGTACTTTATAAATTTTGCCTCCTTTTAAGGAGTACTATGTAGATGATTTATCAGAGCTTTGGGAAGGTTGAGGGTTTTATTTTTAGCATAATGATCACTCTAAAATGTTATGGTTTCTCTCGGATGCACTTCTTATTGCTGCTTTCCTCCTTTTTTTTTAAATGGTACTTGATAAAATGTTGTTTTGTTGTTAAATCAATGGCACAAAGTGAGCCAGAGCAAAAAGTTTGAACAGTTTTCTTTTTTGTTTCGAATTATTCTCCGATAAAGCTGCACAGAACAGATCTCAGACTGGCTCTAAACTTGAGATTTGCTGATGTTTCTTCAAACCACTGATCAATAAAAATGAGTGCAACACTAAATCCATATGTTTGGTATTCCTTCAGATTGCTTTTTGTGTTGAGGTGATGTGAGATTGACAGAGCGTAGCAAAATTAATGGCTCGATAGGTTCAAAATGACTTCTGGAAAAATAAATTGGCTGCTGAAGAGAATTGAACTGTCTTGTTTTGACATAACGCATCAGATCCCAGATCCTTTAGTTTTTCCTGTTGGGTCCAACCAGCTGAGCATGATAGAGCATTTCCACCCTGCATGTGTTGCATGTTACTTCTGCTTTTAATGTTGTCTTTTCACATTCCAGGTTTAATCTAAGGTATGTGGTTGCAGAGCAGTTTTGCAGTTACCTTCTGAATTCTCACTTTTTCTTTTAACCCTTGAAGATTTTGTGGATAAGGGAACGGGATTTTAATATAGCTCCTGTTTTTTGACAAATAGGAGACTTTTTTCGCCTCCACATATCCACCAACATCTTCTTCTTCAGCAATCGCTGATTTCTTCTGATTATCTATAGGAGATTAAAAATCCTCACAGTGACGCGCACCCCGGGACCGTCTGTCAAAGCTGGACAGTCCCGGATTTCAGCTGGATGACGACTAAAGAGAGGCTGCAGGAGGGACCTCAGATGTTTGCTGTCAAGAATAATGTGTGTGCTCGCTGCTGTGAGCTGGAGAGGAGCAAAGATAAAGCTGAACCAGCAGGGGAGGTCGGTTTCAGCGGAGTTATTTCACGTTCTGTGTAAATTCTGTCTTAGCTGGAGAAACAGGACTTGCTTTACTTTTTATTCTTACTTTGGGTTGCTCTAGGATGCCTGAGGGTATTTCAATGACTGGTTTCCTCTGATTTCCTGTGAAATGATAAAACACAGTTAGTTTGCACATTGCAGAGGAGCACACATTGTGATTAAAAAGAAGGGAAAAAAAAGCTTCCTGTCATAATGATGGCAAGCCTTTGCAGAATAATACAGCAAATTTTAAACAAATGTAAAAATTCTCTTTAAGAAGAAAGAAATATATTAGCTAGAAGAATCGTTTTCCCAAGGTTTGGATTCAGCTTTAAAAATGAACATTTCTAGCTCTGCTTAGATCATCTTGAATACTAAATCTTTTTTTATGCAGTCCAGTTCAAATACTGTAATCATTATTAAGATGTAAGAAACATGTCTTAAAGAAAAGCAACATTGAAAGTTTGTCGATGCTTTCTATGAAAGTTTCTTGAGTTCAGTCATTTCTAGTTGATCTAACAAATCATGTAGCCTGTGATCTCTCAGCAGCCCCAGTTGAAAGTGTGAATTTTCCTCTTTTTACCTCTTTGAAGATTACTTCTGCTGAAATCAACCTGTCTTTTTTTAAAATCTGTAAAGACTGAAAGTTGCTCAGCCTGTTGTAATTTTAATAAATATTCTGTCAAACATGTTCTCCTACCTGAGCTCCTGATCTCTGCAGCTCCTCTAGAGTTACCTTGGATATGATGGCTGCCTAAAAAATTAACACTGAATCTGCACAGGCATTTCCTGAAATTAATGTTTCTGCCACATGAATCCCAATAAAATTCATTGAGGTTTGTAACTGTAACCAGTCAAAATGTTCTCAAAAATTAGAAAACCTTTGAAAGACCTTCAGAAATAAGAACTGTTGACCAAGAACACTTCAGTCTATTACAAGAATGTATTTGGAAGATATCTAAATGAAACAATAAATTATTGTTTGGAAATATTTGCATGTTTTTCACCGGTGGACAGTGAACGCATCAGTTTTTCTGTTGTCACCAGAGCTGTGCAGGTCGCCTGTCCACCAGAGAAGCTGGGCCGTGCCTGTTTTGCCGTCAGAGAGGTGAAGCACAAGAGGGCAAGAATTTTTCACCTCCCAGAGCTCTTAATGCAGGGTCCAGTCTCCATAGAGACCCTGTCTGCAAGATAAAGACATCATCAGTCACAGGCTTCCTGAGATCTTCTCCACTGAGCGAGACGAGTCTTCCTGCAGAATCATCCACCATTCAAGTGCCATTGAGAGTAAATGTGCTCTGCATCTTACATAAATGTCAAAACATCCCTCTGGCTTTGCCAGAACCATATCAGGAGCGCCTCTCTGCGTATTTATAATATATTTTCGCCTCTTGTTAGTTATACAGAGCTGCTCGTGTCATATAATCTAAGGTTTATTAGTGATGAAAGCATTTCTTTCAGTTGCAGATCAAAGTATCCGGCCAAAGTGGTCGTTTGGGGATCAGCATCGCTGGTGGAAAAGGTTCTCTGCCTTATAAAGATCAAGATGAAGTGAGTGGTGGAGTAGGAGAGCAAATATTGCCCAATCTTTTGCAACATAGCTCATCAGTCATTCGCTCAGCAGCTTCTTGGCTCTCTAAACGAATGTGATCTGAAGCAGCCGCTTCTAGAATCTCAACAGCATGTACAAACTGACAATACTTTACTTTTACTGTTAGCTCAATCTTCATCCCGGCCAACAAGTTTGCTTTCTTTTTTTTTCCCTCAGGGCATTTTTATTTCCAGAGTAGCTCAAGGAGGGCCATCTGAAAAGGCTGGGGTCCATGTTGGAGACAGAGTACTTGAGGTAGAAAACAGAAACTTTAATTTCTTTTTGCTCTGGGAAAATATTGCATGGAGTATCTGCTGTGCTATAAATCTTTGGTTTATCACATCTCACCAGTGGGGGGCAGCACATGACTAACAGAAGATTCTCAGCTTGGACTTCACTCATTGACAATGTGATTGACAAAAAAAGAAATACAGAAAGCATGCATGTTATTTCCAGTCTTTGGGTTCCCACTTCCATTCTCTGTTGCAGCAATTTCTAACTTGATCCCTGCCTTCCAGGTCAACGGCGTCAGCATGCAGGGTGCAACCCACCACGAAGCAGTTGCTGCCCTCAGGAATGCTGGGTGCTGCATTAAGCTGAAGGTGATCAGAGAACGGCTGCCGCCCTCAGACATGTACGTCCCGGCCGTGCCTCAGGATCCACCGGACCCGGCTGGTCGGCCACTGTGCCAGATGAGCAAACAGTCCCAGCTGGAGGAGTCAGAAAAATGTTTGCCCAAGAAGATTGAGGCTGTTGTCTGCAATGGGAACAGTGCCGTGGGTGTTTTCACTCAAATTTCAACTTGAGCAAAAAAAACTATTTTAAAATCTGACAATGTGTTACAACTCATAATCCCAACAGATACAGAACAGAACACTGTTAATATTTTGTCTTTCTTGTACAGCTGGTTCAGTGTTGTTGATACTGCAGCCTTTTTTTATGTGTTTCAGTGTGATTCTGACAATGATCTGAACAGAACCCTGTCTGAAATCGAAGCAGAGGAATTAAAATTGGACTCACTCAAAGAGATGAATCATATAATGTCCGTAAGTAGAATAATTATGATTCACAATTGGCTATTAATGCTGCCAGTATTTGCTTCCCTTGATTTCTTTCACATTTTTCCTCTGGTTACAACCATAGATGTCTTTGACTTTTATGTTTTTTTTATATATTGTGTTAAACCATTACAAATTGTATAATTTTGAATCTGTATTAAAAATATTTGTAAAAATCCAAAAAGGATGTACATTTCAATTTTTGGTCTGGTAATTTGATGTTTTGTTGAATCGTTAGGAATACGTCATTACCAGCTTGGTACGTTTTGAGAGTTACATTTTTGCCCATTTTTCTTTTCAAAATAGCATAAATTCAGTCAAATCCAACTGAGAGCCTTCACGAACAGAAACTTTCAAATCAAGGACAAAGACTGAAGTTTGACTGGATAATTCTAATGCATGCCGTCCAGCTCCCAGTATGATCGCTCTTCACATACCGGGAGCCCTCATACTGGGAGGATCAATGTTACATTTAGCACCTGCAACTCTAAACTGAACAAATTAAAAGTGGTGTCTGCATATGGACAGTGCAGCTTAAAACGATGTTCATAAGAGATTCTACAAGCAGAATCTTGGTAAGTTTGCAACTTTTATTTTTGAATAATAGATTACACAAAGCTCCTTGATATAAGTGTTGAAATAACCCAAAGACTGCTTCATGCTTCATCTGAAGCAGAGCAGTTCACCTGGTTCATTTTCACACACACCTTTCCCACAGTGGGGTAGATCACTTGGTTTTTACTATACATCCAGTTTCTAATTCAATCCATTTTGGAATAAATTACACGTTAGTATTTACTTGCCTTACAATGATGCTCAACTTTTGTTTGTCCATTATGCAAAATGTAAAATAAAATAGCCTGATGTTTGTGGTTGTAACGTGACACAATGTGGAAAATGTCAAGGGGTAGAAATATGTTGAAAGGCTCTGTATTTAACACAAAACCTCAAATTCCCCCTTAAGCATGTAAAAACTATTCCTTAAATACTTCACATCCCTGACAACTTGCTTTTTTCCCCTCACTCTTTTTCTTTTCATCTTGTAGATCCCCCGGATTATACTCACTCACCCCTCTACCTCAGATGAAGATGTTGAGCTCTTGTCACAGATTCCCAGAAGACAGTGGCTTCGTGACTGACAAGCAGACCAATGTGGGCACTCTGGATGTTATGATGGGGCTTTTCACTCATTTGGAGCCCATTTTGGAGATTTGTGGATGCAGTACAGGGGCCAGTTGTGGTTCCTCTTTCTTCAGGGATATACATTGAAGCATAGGAGTTTACATTCGCTCAGCATGGGCTTGTTAACCATATTAATTTTAGGATTTTGAGGATTTACTTAAGACATTTTTAAACATTTGGACTGATAATACAAGATACAAATGAATAGATTTTAGAAACAAGAATCTGATGCAAAAGTGTACATTTATAGCAGATTTTTTTTTTTTATCCAGGTTCAATTGTAATACATCCCATTTAATATTTAGATGAATGTTCCTTAGGAAAGAAACCTCAACCAACACCCACAATAAAGACTTTTTTTGTTTCCTGCCACAGTCAAGACTTTTATCCACTACATAAACTTATTGCTACCAGGCTCTATCTATTATAAAAATTATGTTTGAAATCATTTTTATTTTGATAAACTCAAAAATAGATGCAATAAAAGTTTTTTTCTATTCTAACTGTGCCCAAGTTTATATGCAATGAGATTATAATAATGAATCTGGACATTGCGCTGTTTCTGAATTAACCCTCCCATCAACATTGAAACAGAATCATAGCATAATATTGCCAACACCATGCTAGGCAGCTAGTACATTATGATGTGTAAAAGTATTAGCTTCATTCCACTTGCTATAATTCTGTGTATGTTGTGTCATTATTCAAACTTCATAGGATGCACCAAAAGCCTGAAAATAGCTGCAAGTCCACCGAACACTCATGGTGATTTTTAGCATAAGCATAACTTAAGACTACCAGTGTTGCTACTGGGGATTACTGTAAAACCAGTGGAATGTATTTTTAGTGTCAGCCTTTAGAGTTGAATTTAAGTCTTTTGTAAACTGACAAAAAAAACTTTTTTTTAATAGAACCAATTTGTGAAAGTGAAAACACTTGTTTTGTTTGTCAAACCCATTAAGCAATGACTGATGTTTGCTATCTCTGTGTTACAGCGCTCTGCAAGATTTAGGCACCTCACGCTTACGTACCTCATACTGTCAAGTGTTTCTACCCCTGACAGTGTGAAGATTCTGACTTTTTTCAGTCTGCTGAGATGAAATCACTCATTGTTGAACAGATTGCACGGCAGGAAGTCTGATCTCACTGAAGAATTACTTTTCGTCTTCACATTAAAGATACAGTAAATGATGTCACCTGAGAATAAACAATGCAGAAGAAGATAATAAAACAGCTTTATATTCACTTCAGAAGACAAGTATATGTAAATTTTAAATGCGGTTTATACTTAGCTTTATTTTGTGTTACATATTTTATATTCTCACAGTAATAAAAGCAATTCTTTTTCTTAATAAACTGCTGTTCCAGTTGTTGTTTTTGTCTTAAAAAGGCAGCAGAAGGCATTTCCAAAATGATGTTTAGGCTGAAAACAAGAAAATCACTGCGGAAGTTTGTGGGTTTGCAATTGGTAAGATAAAAAGATAAAAATGCTTCTGTACCACAACAGCTTTTAGGTGAAACTTCTCTGAGGACACAGTCTTGTTGGAAAGCTCGTGTATTGTCACAATCTAATTTAGAGTCAATTAATGGAAGGTCAGGCTCGCTCTGGGGAAGTGTCTCGGGACACCTTTCTGTAAGTCAGGGAGTTGATTGAAGGGGTGGAGCACAGCTTTTATGGGAAAATTAATTTTCCATCAGGTGCCCTTGTTCAAAATGTAGTACAGTCATGGCAAAGTGAAAGTCCACCCTCTTCTATTTCTAGTTTTGCATAATAAATAATCTGATATTCACCCAGAATACACAATTATCTAGATATGTTCCCAAGTGTACAAAATCCCACATCTCAGATTTCACCATACCAATGTTATTGATAGGTTTTATATTAGTTGTTTACTAAAACCTATCCTAATAGCTAATGTTGAATAAATGTTGCAAGGTTTATTTTAGATGAAATGATCTCCAGATGTTTTTTTTCTCACATGAAAAAATATGAATAAGAAAATTTTCTAAAGTTACATAAGCACTGAACCTGCTTACTAGAATATAGACTATATTGTTGGTGTTGATGAAATCTTTAAATTGAAAGAAATGAGCCACCTTCATTGCTCAATGGGATTTTGACCCATTCTGCAGAATTACAAGAATCAGAACCTCACACACTCCTTAGCTCTCTAGGGTTCTGTGAGCTTCTTCTAGGACTTTTAGTCCTTTTCACTAATTTTCTATCGGACTCGGGTCAGGTGACTGACTGGGTCATAGCAGCTTATTTTCTTTCTCTGAAGGTAATTGAAAGTTTTCTGGACAGCATGTTTCAGATCAATGTCTTGCTGAAACATCCATTTTGGTTACTTTTATACCAGAAATGTCACAATACATTTGTCCAGTCATCCATCATCCAATTTCATCAGGTCTGCCAGTACCCAATGCTTTTGCAAGCTATCTAAATCTTGCTCAACAAATTTTGAACAAGTTTCAGCAGGCTCAGAAAAGAGCCACAATAAAAACTCTGCGCTGAAAAGTAAACTTCCCCACTGATGCACCAGTTGGTTGATCCAAAAATAATTAGATAAATAAACTACTACAGGATTAGCAATTTGGTTGTGCTGAATACATCAAGTAGTCAATTTGTTTTACTTTTACTCTGCAGCCACAGGCAAATTACATCTTTCCTGAATGAATAAACCAATATCCATCAAATTTGTCCACAAATGGAAACTCTAAGAGTAAATTTTACTTTGCAAATAAAATGGGCCTTTAAACATTTCTGAACTTCCACAACATCAGAAAACAATAATCTCTATTAATTCCCCAACCAAGTATTTGGTCTGTAGGATATTAAAGTTGAAATTACTTAATTACATATTTAAAACTTTAGACTATTGACATAGGGGGTACCAGGTGCTGCAGTCCAAATTGTAGTCTCTGATTTGGCACCAAAAGGCAATGAGGAAAATCGTGATGAACATTTTGTTATTATACAAAACATATTGCTGTCACTTAAGAGCATAAGGTTTTGAGCACCTTCCTGTTGCAACATAGCAATTATACTGTGCAAAAGTGATAATACATTTTATAAACTTAAGAATTAGACTGTGTAAATGTGATAACTTAATCACCATCATCCAGATGGTGGCAGTACTCTGCATTAAGTGCATTCGAATTGGAGAAGGCATAATGATGATTTCACAGGAAGTGGTCAAGTTTCACTTCATGCTTTGTGTAAGACATGGAGAGTTACTGATATCCCTTTTAAATACTTTTTACAGCACTGTATAAAATAATTAATCTTATCAATCAGCATTTGAGTATTTTGGATAGCATAATTTTTCTGTGTTGATTAATTCTGCATTGATCAAACAAACACAAGTAGACATGTTTAAATAAAGCTTTAAATTCAACAGAACTGTTTACTGACAGATCCGACATAAGAGAACAGGTTGGGCTTAGTTTGAGAGACTACAAAGGAGAGATGTCTTTTGGGAAATATGTGGAAAGTATAATTGGAAATGACAGAAAAGGCCCTGGGGATCTTTCACTCTCCTTTTACCAAATATTTCAAAAAGAGGTATGGTTATGCACTTTTCACACCTTTTAATGCCAGAGAAACTTGAAAGAAGTTTCTGGAGAGATGTGTGGAACCACTAAAGCCTTTTTTTAACCCCAAAAGAATCTAAGTGTGGACTAAGGATAAATGACTGAAAATTAGGAATTATAAAAATTCCTAATTTTCTTAATTAGGAATTTCTGCAACAAAGACATTTTTACTATTAATCTTAGTTTGAAGTAAAACCACAGGCCAGTTAAGGTGACAAGCAAAAGATACACAAGAAAAGTTCTGACAAATGGGAACGTATTGACTATAAGACTTTTTAAGTATATGAAAGCTTATCACTGTGACTAAAGAAAACCAGAAATCAAATCCATAAAAGCTATTAAATAACTTGACAATAGCCCTTCAATTGAACAAAAGAGAAAACAATAAACTCAAAATATATATTCAAAAAGATTTTATTGTACTGCTTCTTTCAGAGTGTCTATTGTCTTTTCTTCATCTCTGTAGACATCAAATTTCAAACTGGAATACTAACATTATTGTGCTTAAAAGAGGATTTTTCAGCTTCTAAACAAAATAACAAAGAATGTCAACAAATGCAGCTTTATAGTCCTAACAAATGATGAGTGACAACTGTATTTTCGAAAATAAAACCTTTCATGAACACCAAAGTAGTTTGTACAGATATTAATTTATTTACAGCCAACTTATAAATTCATTCTGACATTTCACATTTTTAAGACTTATGAGAGTAAACTCGGGTATCTTCGGAGATAACAGAAGGGAAATAAACTTCTTATGAATGCTTTGTAACTTCTATCATTGGATAAGCAAACCTGTGAACTCGTTTTACATGCAGTCTGGATGCATGAATTCCTCTTTCTGTCTTTTTGATGCCCCGGTCCACCATCAGTCAGTAGCCCAATAGAGTGGAGTTGTGTTTATCACAGTGGCTTCAGAAAATGAAACCAAATTTGATCTAATCAGAGTGAGCATTGACTGTTTTCATAAAAGTTCTTCTCACCCAATTCTTTAATGTACTTCACTGCAGTAAGAGTGAAAGTAGCAGGAAACAAATCGCAACATATTTTGTTTAAAATGGGAGTTATTCTATTTTTACTGTGGATTGTAAAACATTTTCCAAACCAAAAAAAAAAGATCTTCGATCTTAAGCCACTCATGCAACTGTATCAAGTTCTTAGAGGGTCAGATTTCAACTCTAGAAAAAAATCATAAAGATTACATTTCTATCAGAACATAAAACAGATGTGAAACTACTTTAAAGAAGGTCAGAGAAGTCTGGCAGGATAATCATGGGATGCAGCAGCTTAGTCCCAATCCCAATATTTTCCAATCAAAGGCACAGAGCTTTACATCTATATCTGTAAGAAAGCAGCACAGGCATTTAACGTTTTTGCCTGAGTTTCCAATTGCAGATTGGCAGTTTGTGTTTGTTGACAGCATTTACAAACGGAAAGATGAACAGCAGGGTGTGCATTGATGAAATCAGGGATGATGAAGGAAGTAATTTTGCACAAGACAGGAAGTTAAAAGCTTCAGTGTAGAAAGCAAGGAGGAAATCTAAGTGGATAAAGTCAACAACAACCACACATCCCAATGCTGAATAAGTAAGAGGCCCAAACATATTCCAGAAAATGATGTTGAGAAGGTGTTGCAAAAAATGCGGCCCGGATTTCTGTGCTGAATTTAGCTTGTGATCCACTTCTGTTGGTATTCCCACTGAAGAAACACATGTCAGAAATAAATGGGAAGCAGCAGTCGTGGTGGGACCCAAACCTCTGAAAAGACACATCCGAATGAGAGCCTGCTAAGTGAAAGCGCCAGTGTGAATTCTGTTAGGATGAGGTATTTGTAGAGGGAATGAACTAGGTCACGGAGCTGTACATATGTTCCCAGGTTTGGTTCCCAGGCTGAATGACTGTGCTGAGTGAAGGCTGGAGGAGCTGAGCTGTAATTACCTGTCAATAATTCACTGACCCAATACCTGCAGAGATGGGAGCAGATGAGTGTAGGTGGGTGTCACTCTTGTGACCAAAGTGTAAAGGTTATTGACAGGAGGAAACACATTTCAGACTAAAGGGCAGGAGCTGTGGGGAGGATGAAAGAAAGAAGATGGTGAGGAAAAAAAGAGACACAATGTGGGCTATAATTGGACTAAAGTAAAAAGGATGCTGCATTAGTTTTCAAAAAATTCTGTTTATTTATTTTGTTCAGCAGGAACGTTTGTGAATAAAAGAGACAGAAATAGACAATTAATCTTATGTCAGGCTGAAATCTGCAAACATTAATAACACAATACAGTGTTTCCATGATGGAGGGTTTTTCTAATTTTCTCCAAAGGTTTCTTCTTGAGTGAAAGGGTTTGCTATTAAACTGCGACAAGATGCCAGCTCCTCTATTTAATTCCTCCAATCCTAAACACAATCTTAACAAACCTAAGTATTTGACCTTTTTTGAATAACAAAACATTTGTTGATCAAAAACTGACTTTTCAAACTTGAATTATTTACACTTTAAATATGTCTGTTCTTGAATTCGATGTGTTCATGATTCTTCCCTCTTTCTTTTACAAAGCAATTTAATTCACTCATATAAATTCAAACATATAAATTGTTACATATAAACATATAAAAAAAAATCAATAAAATTTTATTGCAGTAGCCTATTCCAATATTTAAACTGATTTGCCTAATTTAATACATAAGAAAAAAATTGCAAATTAATA